TGTATTCTCTGTGTGATAGGAAGCCAGTGGAGTTGGGCAAGGATGGGGGTGATAGGGTCACGGAGCCTGGTGCGGGAGAGTACACGGGCTGCAGAGTTCTGGATGATCTGCAGCCTGTGGAGGGAGGATTTGGGGAGGCCGACAAGCAGTGAGTTTGCATAGTTGAGCCTCAATGTAATGAAGGCGTATATGAGGGTTTCGGTGGTCTGCAGTGTGAGACAGTGTCGGAGCCGGGTGATGTTGCAGAGGTGGGGGAAGGCAGAGCGGGTCATGGCGCGAATGTGGGTTAGAAAGGATAGTTGAGGGTCGAACAAGACCCCAAGGTTCCGGACTGGCTTAGTAAGGTGGAGTGTGCAACCACAGATGGTGATGCTATAAGCGCCTGAGGTGACGAGGTGCTGACGGGAGTCAATCAAGAGGCCCTCGGTCTTATTGGCGTTCAACTGAAAAAAGTTAGCTCTCATCCAGGACTTGATGTCTGACAGACATTCTGTCAGGACAGCCATGGTCCTGGAGTCAAGGGTGGAGGCAGAGAGGTAGAGTTGGGTGTCACCCGCATACATGTGGAAAAGTTGCCCCCATGTCTGCGGATGATGTCACCGAGGGGGAGCATATAGACGTTGAGGGGACCGAGGACAGAGCACTAGGAACGCCGCACGAGACGGTCCGGGAGCTAGAGGGGAAATCATTTGAGGAGATGAAGTGCAGGCGATGTAAGAGGTACAATCTGAACCAATCAAGGACAGCGCCGTGGAGGTGAGGTGAAGGAGAGGCCATCGCTTTGCATAAGAGTCTCCAAACCAAACCCAGTGAGATTTCCATGTGTGCTTGCTTCTAGATTTTATGTTTTTAAAGAACTTGGCTGCAACATTTCTATTCTCAAAGTTAAATTGCCGCAACAAATAATATTCCTATAAACTGGTCCAATCCAAACCAGGCAATACGCATGAAGTCTTCTCTGGGAACAAAAGTCTTTTGGAGAGTGCTGTCAGTAGCGATTGTAAATATATTTTGTGAACAAGTCTCTGACTCTTTTTGTCTCCATGTGCCTTTGAGGTTTTCTCCTTCACTTCCTATCCTTCTAGTCTCCCTGTGGATTTTTTCTGTTTGTCTGTGATTCAGGTTGATGTGAATTACTTTGTTTCTCTCGCTCGTCAATATTCATCTGTGAATCTTTTCCACTCTGTCTTTTCAGCACCGTCTATCACACTCACGTGTTCTCTCCCATCTGAATAACTTGGATTAATATAATATCTTTCACTTAGAGTAACGTGTCAGAGGACTGAGCAGGGAAGGTGAGGGAGAGGGGGTATAAAAGCTCACTCTCCTCTTACCTGCATCACTGAGTTGCTTTCTCCCTCTGTTGTCTCTCATACTGTGTGTGAATTCACATTCTCGTTCCCTCTCTTCCTTCTTCCTGCTTTTTCTCTCACACTTACACAACTTTCTTTTGGTTTACTACATCTATCTCTTCCCTCATTCTCGATTTTATCTCTCCTTAATCTCTTATATTCAAACTTTTTTTCACCTCACTCACTTTTCTGACTTTGCTCAGTTACCGTCGCTCACTTTACTCTTGCGCACTTACCAATTGCACATACTCAGTTCTCTCTCATGTTAGGTATTATGTACAGGTATTATGTAAATTTGAGAGTTTATGTGTCAGCCTGACTCAATTGGTAGTACTCTGACTCACAGGATATGGGTTCAAACCCCACTTCGGGTCTTGGAATCCATATCGTCAAAGATGAGACTCCAATTCAGTGTTGGAGCGGGCTGCGTTGTTGGAAGTGCCGCCCTTTGAATGAGATAAGTTCTCCCCAGGATCCGCATCCCACTCACCCCAGTCCTTGCCAGGCTCCTGTGGCTCCTAGTGTAGAATCGAAAGGTGCTATACAAATGTAATTTATTGTTGTTCTTGTTGTTGGTTGACTTTAAAATCCTCAACCTCATGTACAAATCACTTCATGTCCTGGCACCCCCCTACCTCTCCAACCTGCTTACACTCCATTCCTCTACCCACTGCCTTCGCTCAGCTGGCTCCATCCTTCTGCATTTCCCTCCTCCCCTCTGCTTTACCATTGGTGGCCGTATTTCAGCCACTGCGCTCCAAAATTCTTTGCCTGAATCCCTCCACCTTGTCTCCTCTCTTCCTGTCTTTAAATCACACCTGACGATCTTCCTCTCCAACTGTATCTATGATCACCTACCCTATCTCTCCATCAAGTCCTGTAGCTCAGTGGTTAGAGCACTCGCTTTGCAAGCGAGAGACCTGAGTTCAATTCCAGGCCGAGGGCGAAACCTTGGGCAAGTTTCCTTACTCCACACAGAGCCTAATAATAATCCCTCCAAAACCAAACACAATAATAAATTGGTCATTTTCAATCTACGACTGTTTGTGGGACATTGCTGTGCGTAATTGGCTGCCGCGTTCGCCCACAAATATACAGTCAATTCACTTTACAGTGTGTTCTGTGAAGCGCTTTGGGACGTCCTCTGGACGTGAAAAGCGCTATATCAAATGCAAGTATTATTATTATTATCAAGCTCCGCCAATGTTAAATGCCCCGAGGCACTATCCTGCATGAGAAGCGCGATATAAATGCAAGTTGTTATTATAATGCTGTGGAGATTTAAAAGCAAGAGGATTTTGAAATAGACCTGCTGCTGGCCAGAGAGCCAGTGGAGGTTATTAATGTAGTGCGTGTGGTGGGAGGTTGCATGGAAAAAAATTCATGAATGCTGATAAATTGCGCAAGGGATTAGCAAGTAATCTTGGTCGTAGGCTAACGCTTTCAAGAACTGAATTCACTCTGTCTTATCTACCCCCAGCCTCAGAATGGATGCGATGGTGGATGTGATCTTATTTTTTTAAATACATCCTATTTTTAAGATATATTTTTCATGTATATTTTTAAATATGTCATATTTTGTATTTAAGTTCTAAATTGCTAATATGGACACATTCTTTACATTTGACCACAATTATCAGAGTATCTGCACAAGGGAAATTTCCATCAGTCAAACATTTACTGTTGAAACCAGCAGCTGCCTTTAAAACATACAGCCCGAACTAGCATCTTCTTTCTCTCCTCGTCGTAACCGTATAATCCTCGAAGTGCTAAAATAACACAAGTCATAGGTTTTCTTAACAATAATCACATTTATGTGGGGGAGAAAGGTTTTACAATGCTCCTTTTGTTCCATGGCATTTATCATGTACAGCGGCGACTGAACAACCAGATAACATTCACAGACTGCTACCCTGATAAAGGCTGAAAATCACAAAATGGAATGGGGTTGTTTTCCATCTTTGTGCCAGGTGCAGCCACTAGTGCGTTCAGCAGCAAACTGCGAACAGCCAATGTGCGGCTAATGATGGGTGAAAGGTCAGCGCCGTTCTGCTCGGCTGCCACCCATTTTCTGGTGCTCTTAAGAGATTGAATGTTAAAGACAGTTGATCCACAATTATTTTACGACGCTATTTAAGAAATGCTAATCTTGAACACAATGCTTCTCCCTTTACACCAGTTCAGAATCAAAAGTCACCGGCTCAGCCGTACGGCACGTCGGCTGCTCGTGGCGAATTGCTGCTCAGCTTCCTGGCCACGGGGCTAGGTTCTGAAACTCTTCAGCCATCACTTAACATCACATTCTGTGAAGTGCGTTGGGACGTCATCCCGACGTGAAGGGTGCTATACAAATGTAATGTTCTTGTTGTCTCGAAGACATGATAAGGCGCTATATCAAATACAAGGATTATTATTATTACTGATTCCAGGTGCTAACAACGATCGCTGCAACTGCCATCTTACTCTGAAAAGTGTTCAAAAACTTTTTTGTCCTGTCTTGACGATGGCCCTATGGGTGTGTGGAGACCTTGATCAGCACCGGATAGCAAGTACTATACAACAGCAAGCTGCAGTGGCAGTGTATATATAAATCATCTCTCCCCTCTCTTTCTGCAACTTATTTTCAACCCAGTTCTTGTTCTAGATTCCCCACGCACCAACAACTAAGATTTGACTTGATCCATTTAGGTGTTAAGATTTTTTTTAGGCCACTCTGATCTTTCCATCTATCTGCCCGCACCTTGAATGCTTTGTATGGTTGGAAAACGTTCCAGCATTGTTTTGTGGCATCCCTCAGACTTTGTACATCTTCACATGAAAATAAATATTTACCTTCAAAAGTGATTCAGACACCATAGTCACTATGGTGAGGTGTGAATTACTACTATAGACTTCACCGTATGACAATGACTTGATTCTGTGTCAAATTACATTTGCTGATCTATCCTTTCAATATTTGTGGGGAATTAATACTTGAATGTTTAAGGTAAGAGATCAGGTAGATTCTCAAAGATACCAATTTAAATAATTGTTTGAGCACAGGGAAGAACAAATGGGGACCAAACCTTTAGGCTATTGACGCAAATACTGGCTTGAAATAAAATCAGATGAAAGGATGAGACACTCAGATCTTCCAGTTACACAGGGCTTGTGTTCAGGGCAGCTGGGTCTCGATGATGTGGGAATAGTATAAGTTACGAGTCTAACAACAATGGCATTAGTTACTGGTACTCATGGTTTTACCACCCTTTACCTCCAAAGACCCTGATCTATGCTTGAGTACAGAGCTGCAAGAGTCTCACAGCAGAGCTCAACAAGTCCACTATCTACGGGTGATTTTAAAAAAAACAATATAAAAAGAAAATGACAAAATAAATGTGTTTGGTGTAAAGCGTTTACTTCAAAAAAAATGTTCAGGTAATCCTTTAATATCACTTTTCATAATTATTGGCAAGTTTCACATTAATGTTTGGTGAAAAGTTCCTGGATATTGGAATGGTATACGTTCTCAAACAGCTGCGATAACTGAATGGCACTCGTGTGAAATGTATCAGTCCCCTGGTAAGAAGATCCTGGCACAATCACCACTATCAGCCCTTGCTCCTCTATATAGTGCTTGCTTAATGAATATTACATCACCATCACCAATATAACCACATCAGTACACTGAGTCAATGACCACACACAGCCTGGGATTTCAGCCACAATTGCTGACGCTGCATTAACACAGATGTTAACTTCCTCTTGTCCAGCACCGACGGCTACTTTTGTCCAGGCTTTGTTTGGACAGATTCAGATCTGAGGTGAAGGGACTGTCAGCAGGCCGGTCGGCTTCATCTTGTTGATCCCTCCGTCCAAGATGCAGACTCGTGGGTAGCTCAGCTTCACCAAGTGAGCTGCAAACTGAAGCAAACGGTCATTAGCAACACAAGTGCTATGGTACAATACAAGTTTACATTTATACAGTGCCTTTCACATTCGGAGGCTGTCCCAAGGCTTCGGCTTGACCCCTGAGATGGGGGTGAAAGCCGAGGAAGGTGCGGAGAGGAAAGATACCAGAAAGCTCAGTCAAACAGGTCGGCTTTGAGACAGCATTCTACAAGGGTACCTCACTGCTCTGGGCATGTCAGGGTAGCGATCTGTTATTGAAAGCCTGACTCTGCTGAGAACATCTGATAATCAGACTTTCATTCATAAAATAATCTCTCTGAATCAAATGTAAATATAACAGGGTCTCTGAACATCTGGAGATGAAAACCTTTATCATCTCCTAGATAGGCAAGCTCCTGTGGTGGCTTCACAATAACAATCCCGATCAAAGCATTTTTTTAAAAAAATCACGTTTTAACATCTTTTGCAAGCTGTCATGTTCTGCGAGTTCGGTGGATGCAGCTTATTTGTTCACTGAAGTAACTGACCAATACACTTTCACAAAGTAAAGTTGACACCATGAGGGATGCTTCACAGGTCACTGACTAAGCTGTGCCTCTGTGCTTCTCTGCTTGGCTCTGGCTACACACCTTGCCCGCTCACACTTTCATGTTCCAGACAGCTCACATCTGGTCTGGAGGGCGGTGTCTGGCTGGTAGGAGTCCAGGTTCTGAATTGGTTGACTGCTCTTTCAATAGCTGCCATTTAACCCCTTGAGTACTTGCCTGGATTGTCAATGCCTGGTGGGATGGTGACAGCTTTAGGAGCTGCAAAGTACTGATATGGGGAGATTCTGATCCCAGCTGCACTGTCGGGGAGAGATCACTGAGCAGAGGACACATGATTCCCCACAAGGTACAGGCACTATTATTATGGGGGCTCATGTGAAGTATAAACACCGGCATGGACTAATTGAGGCAGAAAGAACGCCTGGGGGTGGGCATGTTAGTTTGCAAATACTTGTGATTTTGTATCATCTTATGTCTGGAACTAGAATGCTGACCTTTCTGATTAAAACGTTCACCCAGACCTGAAATTCTCTAAGGATCATTTATTATCCTGTGTTTATAGTCAGCCTCTTGAATTACCATAACAATTCTGTGATCAATATTCCCTTATTCGAGATCACGTTACATTAAATACACAGCTTAAAAGACTGGAATGCACACTAAAAGAGTCTCCTTGACAGAAGCCAGAATCAAATGTTCATTTGTTTTAATTAAACACTGAGGCAGGAGGTTTCTGGCAGGGCAGACAGCAACTTGGGATAGTCTTTGAGTGATAGATTATTTCATGTACCCAACATTATTTCCAATAAATTTAACAGTGATGTGCAAAAGACTGGAATAACTGTTTAAACAGAGTTAAAAGCAGAACTTTTCAAAATTAGTTTGAATTAATAAGATTCGGGTACTAATTATTAACAAAGCTGTCATGACACATTACGCAATTTTCTCTCGTGTTTATCTGAGACTGAGGTTATTCAGAACACAAACACACATCTGAGTACTTAGTGTTTTTCTTAAATCACATCACTTGCTTCTGCTATATTTCTCGAACAGGTTGTAATACTGTTTCTTCCTTCATCAAAGCTTTTGGGCTCAACATTACTGTAACTAGTGGAAGATTTAAACACTGAGCAGTCACCGACTTCTCACATGTAACAAGCTGTACACTTGACAGAGCTTAAATGAGTAAATTGACATTTGCTTGATAGAGCACACACTCCCACAGCATGCTTGACAGGGTTTGCAAATGTAAAACTCCGAATGCTTGACAGAGTTTACATGTGTAATACACTGTTCACTTGACAGAAATCGCATGTGAGACATAATGTTCTATTGACAGTTCACATATACAGAATTCTGCTCACTCCATTGAGCACCATTATTGAAGTTGTACTGCCACGTACCTGGCTACAATATAACCAATGGATCATTTTGCTGAGGAAACTTATCCTGCTGCTGGAAAGCACTAACAATAAGGTTTCCATTCAGACACTAGTTAAAAAGTTTCCATATAAAAGCAAGTATAAAAGCTTTGAAATAATTAACCGCCTTTCAATATTTCATCCACCTGCTAACACTATGTCGGTATACTAACCATCTTTGTAGATTTCACATATATACACCTCTCCCTATGAACTGCACCATGGCAATATCTCACGTCTCTCTACACTCACAAAGTTTAACCCCAAAACATCAATAAAACACACTGAATATGCATCTGATTATTCCCTGTTGATGTAGCCATGAGTTTTACAGCCAGTTACTATCAGAGATGTTACAAATGTATATTTCACACTCACGTGCATTTCCCTCAGTTTGCATCAGTTGGAATTCTGTAGCGCACTTGGCTCCCATGCGAGAGGACAAGGGTTCGATTCCTAAGTGGGGTGAAACCTGAGGAAAGTTTCCTTACTCCACACGCTTGTTTACCGAGCAGTAAGTAGGAACTTGGTTGTTAGTTGATTGGCAGGTCGCTTTCTGGGGATAATAAACCCTCAAAAAAATTTGGTCGCTTAATCCACGTTTGTGGGACAATTGCCTGCCACGTTTCGCCCACAAAATACAGTCAATTTACAATATATTCTTTCAAGCGCTTTGAGATGTCTCAACGACATGATAAGGCACAATATCAAATGCAAGAATTATTAATATTTTATCATTCTGGAACTGTTATTTAAAAAGAGGTGAATGAGCCCAAATATTGCGATTCGCAATTAGTGCTGAGTTTTTTAAAAAATATTAAAATATTTAGATTTGACTTGAAATGGAAGATGCCATTGCCGTTCGAGTGCTTGATATCGTATTTCTGTTGAGCGCATATCTGATATATGAGTACACGGTGGTTTAATGAGGGAAACGAGTTTCTGATCTTTGGTGATCTTGGGGTTAGTTGAAATTAATTTTCCTAGGCTCTTCAGTGGCAAGCAGGTATCCACTTTAACAAGCGGTCCAAGTGGCAAGTTAGTGTACATTCTCACAGACGCCTAATTCGAGGTTAGTCCCATAATTGTCTAATGGAAAAGTACTGTATATGTACAATTTCCTTGCTGATCTCATCAGTCTCTGGGGTGGGAGCAAATAAAGGAAAGTTTATTTTAATCAGTCTCAGTGTAGAGGTGAGTATACGTCCATTCTATTTTCACGGAAACTGGTCTCAGGAGCAGTTTGACATTCGTACCCTGTTGCCGTCAACCAGTCTTGAAAATACAGTTTCAAGAATGATGAAAAAAGAAATGAATTTGCACCTGTTTATCTCATAATTCTTAAATAATGTATGTCAATAAGATAAAAAGGCACAACTAGCAGCAATGTTTTGTGTGTATATGTGGGTGTGTGTGTGAGATAATTTCAGCACCTGATTCAACACTTGACTTCATTTCAAGCTGTGTTATTACTGTATGGAAAACCTTTCCAGATCCACCCAACTCTTTGTTGATTGTTACATAATGAAACGTACGGTCGGGGTCTGCATTCGTTTCCAATGAAGAGTATGCAGGATGCAAGACAACAGCGTGTGGCAATTATGAATATATCCATAGGAGAGCTCACATTTCACATTTCCTTCACCTGATAAAATTGATGTAAAATTTACATTATATCAACAAAGATCCAAATTTAAAAAAAAATAACTTCAATGGGTTAAAAATAATAAAGGCAAATCAATTCTACAAGACTGGAGGGAAACTTGAGAGAGAAGTGAGAAGACTGTTCAGTCCCAAACCTGTAGTTACATCAGGCCACATGTCATAGTTCTGCCCTCGTGAAAATTATCACATCACATAACCCCACCCCCCAACTTATCCATGCATTCGAAACCTCTCGCCTTAATTTTTCCAATGGCTTCCTCACCGATCTCACCAGTTTCACCACTCATAACAACCAACTGATTAAAAGCTCCACCACCTGTATCCACATCCATAACAAACTCACATCATTCCAGTATTTACTGAGCTTCGCTGGACTCCTATTGCAGAACGGATCAATTTCAGGATGCTTATACGTGTACAAATAATTTTATGTCCTGGCACCTCCCTAACTCTCCATCCTACTTACACCCCACCCCTCTACCAGCCACTTCCACTCAGCTGGTTCTGGCCTCCTGCACCTGTACCCTCAGCTCCACCATTGGTGGCCTTGCTTTCACCCACTGCACCCTGAAACTCTGGAACTATCCTCAATCCCTCCACTTTGCCCCATCTTTGCCAATCTTCAGATTGCACCTGAAGACCTATCTCTTCGATCGTGCGTAGGCTCACCTCCACCCACTCCTTGGCTCAGTCTCAAGCTCCGCAATGTTAAATATTCTGAGATTCTCCCATGTATGAAGGATGCTATATATATGCAACTTGTTGTTTTCAGTTTCAATTCTCAAGGATTACTCTCGAAGTGTTAATCTATTTTTCTCTTTCAGATGCTGTTTCACCTTCTGTTCATTTTTACATGACACTCTTTATGTTCCTCATACTGCTGGTCATGGCCCTAAGGTTGCTAACCTCTCAAGCACAGGGTTCACCACAGCGAGGGAGTTAAATGTTTTTTTCAGCAAGCTGTTGGGTGAACGCTCTTCCTGCTGTGGAGTCCTCCTCTTCAAAACCGCACAGTAAAAAGCTTCTCGGGAATGAAACACTGCTTCGTTCTAATTCCTATACAAATTTTGACAAATGTTCTGGGATATGGGAGACAAAATCCGGTCCGTGGGTAAAAATGGGTGACCTGAACTAATCCTATCATTACAAATCATCCCAAGCAATTAGCAAATTGGAATGCCTCAATCCACTTCAGTGGATTCTAGCTGCCGGGAGCAGTCAATGTTTGCCTACTCTAACTAACAAAGCTGCTTAGCAACAAGACAGTTTTGTTAGAGGACCTACTGGATTGATGAGGGGGGTGGGCTGAGAAAGAGATTAAATGGGCCGTACTATGTTTACACTCGGCAGGATTTATCTGCTTGGTTCTCGTGGGTGA